CCAAGACGTGGCACGGGCATGAATGGCCTGTAAGTGGTAGATCTTATTTTTTGGAGTGAATACATACTGTGTGCTGAGGTCGCATTTATATCGTCAGGCTGCTATCGCGGGGGAGGATACTGGTTGACAGTATTTATGAGGGTGTTCAGCTACTGGACAACTTTTTGACCAGAAGAGTGGCTGTGTTGATGGCTTCAGGGTGGTTACTGCAAGATTTAGGAACTCTTAAAGCTTTTCTAAGGTCGTTGGTTGTTTGACATTCCAGGAGATAGTTAAGTAGTGACTTCTGTCATTGTTTGGCAGAAGATGCATTCACTCTGTCTGGGGTTTACCAATTTTCCCAGTTGCATCTGTAACCTAGACGTAGTCTTTATAACCGAACTGCAATTTCCCATTGGATTCGTTTTGGGTATTTAACCTTTCCAACTTGGTGGCGTGAAGATACCATACTGCAGAGGGTGAACCTTCTGCTACTCTGTGGTGTAGATGGGCTTTGTTGAGGTGTGCGAGTTCTTTGGTGATGGTGTTTTTTATGTACTCTAGGCTGGGTTGGAATGTTTTATGTATCCAATTTAGCAGTTTCACCGGCTTTCTCATTTATGGGATTCCAACATGGAATAGAATTTATGTTCAGGGATAGGATTTATGATCAGTTCAGGGTTATGTTGAGTGTTGACCAAACCACACATTAGAAGATGAAGAGACGACGACGTTTCGGTCCGTCCTGGACCATTATCAAGTCGATTGTGATCTTGATAAACTTGACAATCGACTTGAAAATGGTCCTGGACGGACCGAAACGTCGTCGTCTTTTCATCTTCTTGTGTGTGGTTTGGTCAACATTCTTCAGCCCCGTTATTGTGACTCATCATCTACTTATGTTGAGTCTTTTGCCTTTAGCTACTGCTCCTACATAGAAAATGGTGGTAATTATTTCCACATTGTCTTTCCACTGCTTTTTTCGAAATATTTGAAGTGCAGCTTTTCAGTCTCTGTGTATGATTGCGTTTTGAGTGTTTTGTGCAATCACACATTCGAATACCCATTGTATGGCAAACCATTGGGAGAACCAGTATCATCAGTTTGGGTTGATGATACAGGTTTTCCCAGCCTCCAATATTCCTGTTCGCTATCCGTGCAAAGAGCAGCGCCAGCACACTCGTATTCTGTGTCCACCGATCCTGTCTGTAAAGATGTGGGTGGCTCCTGCTACTGCAATGCTGCCCGTTTGCTTTTCTATGATGCGCCATAGGATTGTTGGATCATTGGCAGCCTTTTTCATCTTAAGACCTATTACTATTCTGAAGGCAGGCTCCTCTCACGGTGGGGAACATGTGTAACTTAGTTATGGGTGATCACCTCCTCTGTCAAGAATCATGTTTTTTAATTGTAGTCTGTTTAGGACTTTTCCCGCTCTGGCAGCCCAAGAGTTTCCGTTGTTTTGACCAAGTCCAACCACCAAAGCCTGTCATACTGGGACTGGATCAGGGGAAACAATTATCTTGCTGATAATCGTAGCTGTTCTTTGAGATATTCTTTCTTGAAGATTCCAGTTCCGTTTCCAGTCTGAGAGTTTCTAGCCTGGTCCACATAGGGGGGATTCCAGGGCAGCTCTCATAGCATTGTTTTGGGCTGCGAAGGCGAGGCAAGACACAATTATTTATGACTAAATCCTGGGAACTGGTAGGGGTAGAGGGAGGGGGGGGAGAGAGAGAGAGAGAGAGAGAGAGAGAGAGAGAGAGAGAGAGAGAGAGAGAGAGAGAGAGAGAGAGAGAGAGAGAGAGAGAGAGAGAGAGAGAGAGAGAGAGACAGACAGACAGACACAGAGACAGAGATAGAGAGACAGAGATGCAGAGAGAGAATGTGGAAAATTTTCTACCAACATTATAGCATAACATGTCTTAGTGGTCTATGAAAGCACATGGGACAGGCCTAGCTATTCATAGGACAAGCCAAGGTCTCTTGAGACAGAGTGTCTAATCAGCATATTATGACCATTTTGTGAACCACCATCCCAGAAAGGTCTCTCTCCATAAATGAATTCATTTCAGGATATGTAATTACATCTAACACCTATAAGCGTATCATTGTAATATGTCAAAAAAATGCATATACTCAAGAAATACTCGTCTAGCCATATACATTTGGCTAACAATAGTATAAATTGGATCATTAAAACAGGCAGGGCAGTGATGCTCGGTTTGAGTGGATCACATCAATGTCAAGATGCTGGTTATGACAATGGTAAACATACTCCTCCACCATGAAGATATACTCCATGATGTTCAAGGTGCTTAATTGCTGCCGTTTAACAACCGTGGATCTGATTGGTGGTGTCAACTGCACATACAATGTGTACTAACCATTGAGAGAGAGAGAGAGAGAGAGAGAGGAGATAGAGAGAGAGAGAGAGAGGAGAGAGAGAGAGAGAGAGACAGAGAGAGAGAGAGAGAGAGACATAGAGAGAGAGAGAGAAGAGACAGAGAGAGAGAGAGAGACGAGTACTAGTTAATCGATGTTATCCATATGATGCTAAGGAGAAGAACATAACATAATAAATATTACTTGTGAACAGCTTTGACCAGCTGCTGGAGGGTCTCAGGTCTGGGTGGGTACTTGGGCATGGTGAGGGCGGCGGTGAGGTTGCCCCTGTAGACGGTGCCCACCACGAAGGAAAACACCAGCCACGTCACCAGCAGCACCCGACTCGAACTACTGCCAGGAAGGTGCTTGTTGGTGCCCTGGCCGAGCAGTGCCCCAACAGCTATCTCGGCCGCGTCTGCCATAGATATTCCCCCGCTGTGCTCCTCTCCGTGTTTAGGTCGACCGATCTATAAGTACGAACATATTGTGTGTTCTTAAAATATAGCACTGATTGTTAAATGCTCCAGATTTTTTATTTTACATTTTTCTTATTAAGTTTACGTAGTAAGGTGAAGTGGTCATTGACATCGAACTAGTTCAGTAAAGGACAATTCTCATCTGTATTGTGTGCATGCGTGCGTGCATGTATATGTATTTATGTCTATTTATCTATCTTTTCTATCTACATCTATATTGTTGGAAAGTTCCAACACTGATACATGCCTATTGTATCATAATACATCACTATTGCACATTAAGCATAGTATCTATTAACCCTATTAACTGTAGTACTAATATAAATAAATATTTTTCTATCTATGCGTCATTTACTAAAATTCTCACCATATCGCGAGGTAGTATTGCGTCAGATAATATCCAGCAAGACAGTTATTGTCAACATGTTAGAGAATTGAATAATATTCTCAACTTTTATCAGTATTCTTTATAAGAATTAATATCTGATAATATATCAACTAGTGATTCAATAACCACGAGTTACTAACTAAAATATCACTATATAACATGTTTATCTGTTATATCCAAACATCATGGAGGAAGTAGAAATTCTCTCCATTTCTCGTTTAATAAGAACACTGTTCATAATTATCATCATCTAGCGAGCATATAAACAATATTTAATTCCCTACAATTGCGACCCTAATCTCATTAACGTATTGCAGAGAGTAATTACAAGGAAAAGAATTTTTCGTCTCTACTAAAATATGTTGCGAATGCGTCTGAGAGAGGTTGAGGGAGAGGGAGGCGTGGCAACGCCACCAGCAGTACAACACGAGCAACGCTTCTGGCAAGAGTGTCGGACGGGAGACAACGTGGCGTCCACTAGACCAGGGAGAGGCGAAGTTTCCAACAATTCTACGACAGCCCCTTGCTATTAATCGGCCTGGGAGTGTGCAACTACTTCATTAGCAATCTAAGGATTGCATCAGTGGACAACCAGCAGGTTAAGTGTTCTAGTATTGTTATAGGAGCTCACTATAATTTTTACTGTACGCTTGTCCATCGTTACGCCGTAATACTTCCCCAAACACCAAGTACGTCTGCAAGGAATTTGCTTTTCCCTTCCATTCAATAGTAATGACACATTCTACTTTGTGTAGACAAATTTTACATTCCATTGGGTTTTCAGCGTGTGTCGGAGTTGCCGTGATCTCAACATTTCCCACGCTACGCTAATGGATCACGTGTTCTAGCAAGTTCCAGATGGCGCCATCTCGACACCGCATCTCCGTTCACTGTCACAGCTAAGCAGCTGAACCAGTTTTAATTTAGTTCTTATTTACTAATGAACGGTGAAACCTAATAATAATTTGAGAATATATTTCATTTACGTGATTTAGGAAATCAAGTATAATTTGATAGCCTCATGTACTTTAGATGAGAATAATTTTCTTGTTTAATCATTATCCAATATATTCTTGCTACTAACCAATTTATCAAATGATTATTTTATTTATATCTTAGTAAGAGTTACTAATTTTATTCGAGCAAGAACCAGCCTCGATGAAGTGTACTGGGAGTACTTTACTTCTGGTATTAACCTCCCATTTTGTGAAGGAGGGAACGTTTACCCTTTGAATAGTCATTTAATATACAGTCCATTAATGTTCAAGGAATAACTCTTAATAGTTACATTATCCACAGGCACTGGTATTTCAGTCCTTTTTCTATTGTTCATTTATCTGTTTCCCTTTTCAGTAAAAATAGGGTGGTCCTTCGATTAATTTAAATCAGTTAATTATATATCAATATATTGAGAGTAAGCTTTCTTTCCCGACAATATGGGCCTTAAGCCCAACCCCCCCAAACCAAACAAGACAATAACCCACATCTACCCTCAACAGAAATAGAGGAACCACCAGAGAATAGCCCACACGTACCAAGAACAGAAGGACGGGAACCAGAACCAGGGAGGCGATGACTGATGCCCAGACAGTGTCCGTCAGAGGAGAGTAAAGAGACTGCCAGTTAGATATGAGCGATGGTGTTGCCAGTGTGAAATCAATAGAATCATGTTCGTAACTAAATGTGTAATCATACAGCAGTTGGCGCTGTGGCATCTGTACGTGGTTGATAGAAGCCATGAAGGAGGTCCTCTCCGACACTAGGCCTGTCACCTGGACAAGAGGTTTTCACAACAATAAATTAATAATTTTGCTTATTTTTTTTTAATATTTACAGATGTTTAAAATATTTAATTTCATAAATTATTTAATTTAGAGATTTTAAGTAGTTTAGCACCATGCAATTCGTGAGAGTAAAAGTAAGTAAGTAATTATTTCAGGTAAATTTTGTCAGTCACAGATTTTAGAAGTTTGTTAAAGTTCTTATGAGAAAAATAATTTCCGAGACATAGAAGTTTGTTAAGGCCTTATGGGAGAAATTCAAATAACGTATGTAGCTCTTTAGGGCTTCCAGGAGAACTCTACGGACATATTTTACATGTTTTCAACTTACAAAATCGTCTATGTAAGCCTTAGTTATTCATATAAATTTAGAAAATCACCTGTGTAAGTCATGGTTTTCAGGGTTTCGTACATCACACCCCCCTCCCTCCCCCCTTACCTCGCAATCTGTCGCGTCACCTTTATTTACTTTACGCCCGGCCAGCCAGACCTCTTATCTTATCTTATCTTTCCATAATATCTGGACCGTCCCTCCTCTCTCTCTCTCTCTCTCCTTTCATTCAGTTCAACTATTTTCCAACATCGTATGTTTGCTCCTTTTCATTAAGCAAGTCAGTTTTACACAAATAAATCATGTTAGTAAGCATGTTCTAGCTCACGTTCCCCCACCTTAGTCCCCTGTCGTATAATGAATACTATCATTCCAATCCCTCTAAAATTTAAAAATAATCATATTTCAAATGTAGTTCAATACAGTAATTTAGTTACCAAGCTCCAGCGCTTGTCCTCCGCCTTAGCTCTCTCTCGTATCTTCGTTAGTATCAGTCCAATTTCCCTGAAATTTTTACCCTCTGTATTTCAGGCACCATAAATAAGATCAAAACAGTTACCAAGCTCCAGCGCTTGTCCTCCGCCTTAGTTCTCTCTCGTATCTTCGTTAGTAACAGTCCAATTTCCCTGAAATTTTTACCCTCTGTATTTCAGGCTCCGTAAATAAAATCAAGTCAGTTATCGAGCTCCAGCTCTCGTCCCCGCCTTAGTTCTCCTTCGTATCTTTGTAAATAACCCATCAATTTCCCTAAAATTAAAAGCAGACATACTTCAAAGTTAGTAAATAAGATCAAGTCAGTTACTGAGCTCCAGCTCTCGTCCCCACCCTCTTCCACCCTCAAGTCTTTGTAAATAAACCATCAATTTCCCTGAAATTTTTACCCTCTGTATTTCAGACATAGTAAATATGAAGTAAACAATTATAAAACTCTAGCTCTTGTCCTCTGTCCAAGCTCACTTTTGTAAATTCATTACTCTCAGTCCATCCCCCTGAATCACCCAACTACATTTTCAGACATAGTAAATAAAAACCAGTTCAGTTATCAAGTTTCAACTCTTGTGCCCCAGCTTAGTTCATTTGTGCAAGTTCTTTATTTTCCAACTAAATCACCCTGAGATTTAAGATCACCTTATTTTCTAACGTAGTAAAATTAATCTGGGCATTAACCAAAGCTCCATTTCCTCAGCCTTAGATCATCAGACATAAATATATTCGATCAAGTCCGTCTCCAACCTATCTGTTTATCAGAGTAATTACTTTACCCTTTCCCCAACTTACCTTCTCATCCCCAACGTATCAAAACCTTCAATAATCATACTGTATTTGCATATTTTCTCTATATTCAGCTGTGTTCTTCACATTTTGTCCATGTTTTCTGTGTTCACTCCATGTTCTTCAAATGTTCACAGTCCCATTCAGTTCATATTTTCACAAGTATCTCCATTTTTTCTGTAATCTTTCTCTTAGTCTCATTACTTTCTCTACAAATTCTAGTCATATTTTCTATGTTTTCATGTTCATCACATGTTCTCTTTACAACTTTTATACTCAATATTCATGCTAACTTCCATATTTTGTGTTCTTTGTCAATATTCATGTTCCTCTACAAGTTCATGTTCCTCACAAGATCACTTCGTTTTTCACCTTCACTTACATGTTTTCTACATTCTTTGTCATATTCTCCATGTTCTTCACAAGTCCATTGTTCATTCTTTGTAATCCCTATTCTCCTTATCATGTTTTCATGTTCTCTGTAAGTTCATATTCCCAGCATGTTCACTGTATTCATCAACTTTTCTTACATATGTTCTTTGCCATGTTCCCCATATGTTCTCTGGGTTTTTCCCCTTACATGTTATCTAACGTTCCTTAACTAAAAAATCTTTCGCCAATCAACTAAAAACATAGTCACTTTCGTCATTTCTCAACTAAACTTATTATCCAGTCAACTAAAAATAGTCAGAAATAGCCTCGTTCAACACTGTTCTTAACTAAAACAACCTTTCTCTTAGCTAAAAATTGTCAAAGGAAACTTTTTTCAGCACTTTCTTAACAGGCGCTATGTTTCATCAAGAAAAAATTGTCAAAGGAAACTTTCCAAAACTGTTCATAACTAGCTTTTATCCATCGTCAATCAACTAAAAATAATAACTTTCATCATTTCTTAACTAAACATATTCCCCATTCATCAGAAAATAACCGTGTTCATCATGTTTCATTGTCATTTCTTAACTAAAATTATCTGCCAATCATCAGAAAAAGTCATGTTCATCATGTTTTGGCTTTTGCTCAACTAAAAGTATTCATCGGTCAACTAAAAATAGTTACTTCATCATGTTTCCTTGTCATTTCTTAACTGAAATATCACTTCTCTCATCTGAAAATAGTCAGGATTAACCTCATTCAACACCGTTCTTAACTAAAACAGCCTTTCGCTTAGCTAAAAATTGTCAAAGGAATCTTTTCAGCACTGTTCATAACTAACTTTATCCATCGTCAAGTAAGAAAATATAGTCAAAGATATCTATCATCGTCGTTCTTAACTGACATTTATACTTTGTGGAGCACTAAAATAGTCAAATGTAACTTTTTCAGCACTTTCGTAACTAAAATTATATGTCGCTAAGTAAGAAAAATAGTCAAAGGTGCTCTCCGTTACACCAAAGTTACTCTTCGAGAAATCAAAGACACTCTTCAATACATCAAGGACTTACTCAAAGACACCAAAGTTACACTCTAAGACATCCTTCGAGACATCAAAGACTTCCTTAAGACTTCAATGGGACTCTTCCATTCATCAAAGACATTCTCTAAGCCCTCAAAGTTATTCTCAGCACAATCAAAAGTTATTCCGAGACAACAAAAGTTATTCTCAGAACAATCAAAAGTTATTCCAAGACAACAAAAGTCATTCTCAGAGCTATCAAAATTATTCTCGGAGTCATCAAAAGGTATTCTCTAACTCACTTTGGTCATTAAAGTTAATTTCTATGTTATAAAAGTTTGTCTCAGAGACATCTAAAGTTAATCTTAGAGTTATCAAATGTAATCTCTAACTCTCTTTTGTTCATCAAAGTTGATCTCAGAGTTAGCAAAGGTAATCTCTAACTCACTCTCGTTCATCAAAGTTGTTTCAAAGACATCAAAGTTATTCAAAGAGCTAACAAAAGTTATTCTCAGAGTCACCTTCGTTCTTCAGAGAAACTTTCCAAAACATCTTTATTCATCAAAGTTATTCTCAGAGGCATAAAAGTCATTCTCAGAGCTATCAAACTTGTTCTCAAAGTCATCAAACTTATTCACAGAGTCATCAAAGTTAATCTAAGACATCATTTTTCATCAAAGATATTCTCTCTAAACCATCAATGTTCTTCTCTAAGACATAAAAGTTATTCTCAGAGTCACCTTCGTTCGTCAGAGAAACTTTCAAAACATCTTTGTTCATCAAACTTGTTTTCAAAGTCATCAAAAGTTAATCTAAGACATCTTCTTTCATCAAAGTTATTTTCAGAGACATCTAAAGTTATTCTCAGAGCTATCAAACTTGTTCTCAGAGTCATCAAATGTTATTCTCGAAGTCATCAAAGTTATTTTCAGAGACATCTAAAGTTAATTTCTATGTTATAAAGTTATTCTCAGAGACATCTAAAGTTAATCTTGGTCATCAAAGTTATTTTCAGAGACATCTAAAGTTAATTTCTATGTTATAAAGTTATTCTCAGAGACATCTAAAGTTAATCTTGGTCATCAAAGTTGTTCTCTAAACATCAATGTTGTTCTCCAAGACATCAAAGATGTTCTCAAAATCATAAAAGTTATTCCCAGAGCTATCAAAGTTAATCTCAGAGTTATCCAAAGATATTCTCATGTCCACAAAAGTTATTCCAAGAGACGTCAAAGTTGTTTCAAAGACATCAAAGTTAATCTCAGAGTTATCCAAAGACATTCTCAGAGACATCTAAAGTTATTCTCTAAGACATCAAAGTTGTTCTAAGAGTTATCAAAAGTTATTCTCAGTCATGATATGTTATTCTCTAACTCACTTCCATTCATCAAAGACATTCTCTAAGTCCTGAAAGTTATTCTCTAAGACAACAAAGTCTTTCTCAGAGCTACCAAAGATGTTCTCTAAATCATAAAAGTTAATCTTAACTCACCTTCGTTCATTAGAGAAACTTTCCAATCCATATTCGTTGACCAGAGTTATTCTCAGAGTCATCAAAGCGATCTCTAATTCATCTTCGTTCTCCAAAGTTGTTCTCTAAGACACCTTCATTCATCAAAGAAACTCTCCTTCTTCCATCATGTTATTCTTTAAGACATCTTCAGTCATAAAATTTTCTCTCCAAAATGTAACTAGTTCAGCTTTTCATACCAAACCTGCATTTCTGTTAAAACATATTTTCTTAGTTGCTTTACCCTAAAACTGTTCTCTGAACTACACTGTTCAAACCTACGTAACCTATCCTCTCCACCCAATGTTACTTAGTTAACGTAACGTTCCTAAACCTAGCTTTACCTATCCTAACATACCTTACCTTACCTTCCCTATCTTACCTAACTTTACCTATCCTAACATAACTTACCTTACCTTCCCTATCTTACCTAACTTTACCTAACTTACCTACCTTCCCTTTCACCTAACTTACCTTAACTTACC